CCTCTTTCTCAACACTCTCTCACTCTCCAAACTTCAAAAACTCATAACTCGCTTCCAAATGCATCTAAAAGCTCATTTTTGAACTAATAAAAACAGAACAACCTGGGAATCTGTTTGAATCTAAAAACATTTAATAAATTTCAGTGGCAATTCTTCAAATGCGTCTGGAACATGTGGCGTCGATTCGAGCGATTCGAAATGTCGGTGAAAATGTTTGGAATGAAGACTGTCAATGAGAAGGTTTAATTTTCCTGGTGTTCTTATTTCTCTAACTTCAAAATTTTCAGAAATTCGCAATATCCAATGAGCAGGTGATCAATGTCGGTTTTCACATTGATTTCACTGAAATCACTGATATTCCAAATGAAAAAGTTCAGCAGTAAGTTAGGCTACAAACTATAGACTACACACTACAAACAATTGTTCCAGAATGTTCCGAGATTCAATGGTGAAACTATTCCATGAGGTGGCAAAACCCCTTTTCGAATTGAGACCCTCATCAGTGGAGATGGCCTATATGTTGACACAAATGAGTTGGCAAGTTGCAGGTGAGTCTGAAAATCTGAAAATAAGGAAAGTTTGCATTTGAATGCCATAAAAATCGGAATGAACAAACAATTTTGAAGCAAGTTATGGCAACTAGATTTCCATTTTTAGGTCATGACCTAGATTTAAATTTTTGGGTCATCACCTAGATTTTGATTACTAGGCCATGACCTAGATTGGGAATTTAGGTCATGACCTAGATTTCAATTTCCAGGGCGTGACCTAGATTTTAATTTTTAGGCCATGACCTAGATGTTAATTTTAGGTCGTGACCTAGATTTCAATTTTTAGGCCATGGCCTAGATTTGGAATTTAGGTCATGGCCTAGATTTTGATTTTTAGGCCATGACCTAGATTTCCATTTTTAGGTCATGACCTAGATTTGGAATTTAGGTCATGACCTAGATTTCAATTTCCAGGCCGTGACCTAGATTTTAATTTTTAGGTCATGACCTAGATTTCAATTTTTAGGTCATGGCCTAGATTTGGAATTTAGGTCAAATCCTAGAGTTCAATTTTTAGGCCATGACCTAGATGTTAATTTTTAGGTCGTGGCCTAGATTTCAATTTTTAGGTCAAATCCTAGAGTTCAATTTTTAGGTCATGACCTAGATTTCAATTTTTAGGTCATGACCTAGATTTCAATTTTTAGGCCATGACCTAGATTTGGAATTTAGGTCATGGCCTACATTTCAATTTTTTTCAATTTTTTTGACGTGGATTTCAAAACAAGCGCGCTTCTCTGCACCCTCCCTCTTTCTTACGCTCTCTTGCCTGCAAACTTCAAAAGCGCATAACTCACTTCAAACTGGACCTTTTTTCTTCATTCAAAAACTATTAAAACTGAAATCTTCTATATTTTTCTTACATTTCAAATTTCCAGGAAAACAAATGCAAGGAAAAGTGGTGGAAATTGGTGAGAGAGTTTGTGACGAGATGGCTAATAACCTACACAGTTATTATTTAAAAGAGGAAATGAGATCGAATTACGCTGGTCGTTTGGTTCGGCTGATGAGTGTTGTGAATGCGGTGAAAAAAATCCACATGGAAAGAAGAAAAACCATGGAGTTGGCGAGAATTTTCGAAGTTTTTAAAGTCGAATTTTCGGAACCCGATATTTTTGACTGTTGATTTTTTTGTTACGCAATGTTAATGTACATTTTACCTCAAAATACCAAAAATTCACTTAATTGATAATTCAGGGTAATAAATATTTTCATTTCGGAAATTGTAATTTTCAGACATTCAAAAATTCAGAAATTCAGGAATACAGTAAATGAAAAATTCAAAAAAGATCAAAAAATTTAAACGTTCAGAAAATCAGAAATCGGGAAATCAGTAAGACAGAAATTCTGAATTTACATTTTAAAAAATTCAAAAATTCGAAGTTCAGAATCTCCAGAGTTTGATCCGACTCGAAAAAAAACTTCGAAAAAAAAGTTACTGAAATTTTTTCATCCAGAATTCTTCATAAATTCGTAAATTAAAAAGTAATTTATTGTCTTTTTTCCCACCTCTGCAATTTTAAGAATCAGGAAAAAACACAAAATAAACAAATAAAATAAACACCTGCATAAGTTATTTCATCGAAAAAATTATGATGATTTTTTCGGGGAAAAACGCAATAAATTCCAATGACCTCATATCTGCAAATTGAAATAAAATTTTCTAGGAAAAAACACGGAAAGATTACACTTTAAAACATTTTTCTTTTTTCGTTTTTAGGCTCCCATTTTTGAATTTCGATTTTTTGAAGCTTTTTTTTAAATTTTCCATAATTCCCGGGACTTTCATTTTCCGAACTTCTGATTTTTGGAAGTTCTGAAGTTCGTTAGGATTTTCAAATGTTCGCATTTCTAGGTTTTCCGAAATTTCCTGAATGGTCCTGAAATTTTCATATTCCAAATTCTGAGCTTCTATATTTCAAATTCCAAACATAAACTTCCTATTGTCAAGATTTCAAAATAACTTTTTCATCTCGAAAACCTAGAAAATTGCAATGCACAACTAATAATCAACTTCAAACTTTTCAAAATTGTTTTCAAAAAAATAAACTTTTGAAAACCAAATAACGCAATAATTATTTATTGATTTATTTATTGATTACGACCTTCCGTCGTGGAAAAAGAGAAAAAAAGAGAAAAGGAATACAATACAATCACACAAAACACAGATACACGAATAACAAACAACACATTCAATTAAAGTGGAGAACCGAATAGTAACACTATTTCCAAATAATAGCACATAACCATCAACACATACACGCATACAGAATAAAAATTATACCTGCAATAATGATTAACAGAAATAATAAATTATTTTACAAATTAGAGAAATTTCCTGAAAGATCCTGAAATTTTCATATTCCCAATTCTGAGCTTCTATATTTCAAATTCCAAACATAAACTTCCTATTGTCAAGATTTCAAAATAACTCTTTCATCTCGAAAACCTAGAAAATTGCAATGCACAACTAATAATCAACTTCAAACTTTTCAATATTGTTTTCAAAAAAATAAACTTTTGAAAACCAAATAACGCAATAGTTATTCATCTAATAACACATTTTTATTGTTTCAAAGTTTTGAAAAACACGTATTTTCTAATTTTCAGAGAATATTATTCTAGAAAATCGAAAAAAAACGCTTTTCATGGTTTTTTAATTTCAAAAGAATACTTACAGAAACCTTTATTTTTAAATTTTCGCTTTTTTCACTTTTTGAATTTTTGAATTTTCAGTCTTTCAGATAATGAAGAATTATTTCGAATTCACCGATGATTTTTGGTGAAAGGTTTTGCAACATGTACCGTATTTCGAATTTCCATCGCTTCCCTCTTCATCATACTTTCCTCGTCAATTCTCATTCTTTATCCATTTTATTTTTTGGCATTTCGGAAAAATCGAAAAACAGATGAGCTGACAAGTTCAGTCGTTTTCAGTATATTGAAACATTTTTATCATATGGTCAATTTTATGGAAACCCTTTATTTGGTGGATATTGTAGCCATTATTGGTTGTATTTTTGTCGACGTAAAGTTAGTTTTAGAAAAATTCGAAACTTCCGAAATTCGAAATTCAAAAAAGTACAGAAGATCAGATTTTTAAAAATTCTTAGAAATTCAGAAACTCAGAAAGTCGAAAATTTGGAAAGTCAGAATCAGAAATCTGAAATTGAAAAAATATACCGTAAAACTTGTATTAGAAGGGCCCCTGTAATATAAAGGCCTTTCTAATAGAATGTCCCTCCAAGAGGGACTTGAAAAACAGAAGGACCCCCTGTAATAGAAGGGCCCTCCGGAGGTACCTTGGAACAATAGAAGGGCCGGCCCTTCTAATACTAGGGTTTCCATGCGGGTAGCGATATACCCGCCCGTACCCGCCCGTACCCGTACCCGCTAAGGCTTCCATTTCGGTCGGTCGAAAATCGCCGACCGCCGAACGACCACCGACCCAGCCGACCGACAGCCGATCGAGCTGACCGATCGCTTTTTTTTTTCATTTTCAGCAAACACCCTCTCTATCTGATTTTCGGTGGTTCATTGTTATTCTTCTCTTTAACTTTCACTCTTGTTATCACTTTAATGGAAAATTTGATGCTCTCAATTCTGGCAATTTACCGATTTTCCATATATTTTTTCCCTCAAACTGAGTTTTATTTAACAAAAAGTCTCAAAATTTTCCGAAAAACTGTAATTTTCATTTATATTCTCACATTTTTGGCGAACTTATCACAACGTTTGGTTAAATTTTATTTCTCTTTCTGGAAATTTAAAACTTCAACAAATTACAAATATTCGGTGAATTCGGATTTTATATTTGGCGGATTTTCGGGACATCCATCATTTGATTTCTTCGATAAAGTCAATCAATCGATTCATATTTTTTTGACTGGTTTTCAATTTGTTTCTGCTTTTTTATATGTTCCAATTTTGTTAAGTGTTAGAAAAAAGACTGGATTACAGTCTGCAAAAACTAGTCAACCCGAAAAATATATTCTTTATCAGACGTTTTTTATTGTGATTTTCAGAATCGTAATTGGATGAGAATGGTTTTGGAAATCCTGAAAATCTGAAATTTTTAGTCTTACATTCCATATTTGGTCTACTCATTCATGCTTGATAATCGAATGCTTGCGGTTGTGAGTTTTTGAATTTTTGATTTTTTTATATCTTCTAAATTTCCGAATCTCTGAACTTCGGAAAATGAGGGTTTTTGAATTTCTGTTCATGTTGGATGTTTCGGGAAAAAGTTCAAGTTTTGAATATTCACTTTCTGAAAATTCAGAATTTCAGCTATTCTTCGGTCTAACAATTGTTGACATTTGCGTAACTCATTTCATAATTCAAGCCTCATATTTAAGTTGCAATAAAAAACATGTGGAATCCTTATCAAATATGCTTGGATTCAATAAAAATAAAGTGGGAATACGGTATAGGAGTGCAGTGGAGAGTACTACAATGGCAACTTAAAATTAACTGATTATTTAGTTTTTTTGATAATTTTAATCATTTTATGAACTATGAACATTTTTTGAAATAATTTAAAAAAAAAATTATTTTTTAAGTAACAAAAATGGATGAATAAAAAAGTGTTTCATAATTCAAATTCGTCGAAAAAATCCAAGAAAAAATTAAAAGTTCAATCGTGAATAAATACTCTATCAGATTCAATATCACTGATTTTTTTACGAAATAAATTGAAATCTGTTCGATATGGCCATGTGTCCTCCAGTTCGACACTGACCACCAAAATATCAGAATTCACCATTCGAAAATACCATTTTTCATCCGTTCCAGAAACATCCGACGGTCCCCATAATTTGACAAAATCTTCAATTTCGGATGTAGGCGAATTCATTGTCAGATAACAATATTTGAAAGTTGAAGATTTCATGAAACACTGAAAAATCAAATTTTTTACCGTAAAACCTGTATTAAAAGGGCATGCACTTCTATTGTTTCAAGGTACCTCCGGAGGGCCCTTCAATTACAGGGGGTCCTTCTGTTTTTCAAGTCCCTCTTGGAGGGACCTTCTATTAGAGAGGCCTTTATATTACAGGGGCCCTTCTAATACAAGTTTTACGGTATATTTTTTTCACTTTTAGATTTCTGATTCCTTTCATTCTTCCGGCCATTTTTCCCCGAAACTTAAATCGTAAAATTCAATTTCACTAAAATTGAGCAAGTTTTTATTTAAAAAAGTGTTTCAATAAGTTTTTACGGTATTTTGAAAATTGCGAAGAATTTCCAAAATTGAGAAATCAGAAAATCTGAAAATTCAGGAATTCGAATGTCTTGAAAATTTCAAATTTTGGTTTTGTTTGAATTTTTCTTTTTTTTTAATTTTTTTAATTTTTCGAATTTTCGAATTTCTGAAATTCAAGATTTCTATATTTCACAACTTCAAAATTAATTTTAATTTTCTTTCTGATTTCCTCCTGATTTTCATATTTTTGAATATAGAAGTTTCTGAATTTCCAGAATTCCTAGTATTTCTGGAATTTCTGATTTCGAAACTTCAAAATTCAAAAATTCAAAAATTCAAAAATTGGCGACTTTTTTATTTGATACCGTAAAACCTGTATTAGAAGGGCATCTTTAATAGAAGCGCTCCTTTTACAAAAGGGTTCTCCGCAAGGGACCAGGAAAAATATGAGGCCCGGCCCTTCTAATACTGGTTTTACGGTATCTGGATTTCTAACTTTCTGAATTTTATTCAAAAAAACAACAAAATTTTCCAACTTACTTCTTTGAGATGAATCACATCTTCTGCTGAAACGCAGTCAGTTAGAATCGACGATTTCGAAAAATGAGTCAATTCTTTGATATGCTCATCCGAGAAATATTGTCAAAAACCGAAAACTTTGGCCATTTTCCATTGCTCAGTTTTCGAAATTTCATCAGTTTCAAAAGCGAAAAATCTGGGACGAAAATTAAGTTCTACTAGGAATTTTGGATCAACTATCTGGATAATTGAAAGAAATTCTGAATTTTTGTTGGCCCAGATTTGCAGTTTTTTGGTTTTGATTTTTCGATTCATGCAATTGCTCAGCTTTTCAATCACATCCTGATATAATTGCTCATCTTCCGGTCGCAAATACACAGCCTGCAAATCCATACCGATTTCAAAAAGGTCCGAACTGCCTCTTTGAAATTTTAGAATCCATTTCAAATCGTTTTGAATCGCCACATCCAAAAAATTGGAATTCTCCAAATTTGTTATTTTTTCTTTATACGTTCTCGAATTTTCCATATATTCAATTATATCGATTGATCCATCAAAATACTCAATTTTAAACTCCAATTTTCGTCCTTTTCTCACTGTTAATGTCAGTCCTTTGAGTTTAGAGTCTGGCAATTTGGAATCCTTCAAATCATCGATAAAATTCCAGAAATCACGGCAAACTTGGCGAAGGGTAAGGCTGAAAACAGAATTTTAAAAGGAATCTCTAGAAAATTTGAATTTCCGGATTTTTCTGAATTTCTGAGTTTCTGAATTTCTGAATTTCAAAATTCCTGAATTTCTGAATTTCTGAAATTCCGAATTTCTGAATTTTAGAATTTCTGAATTTTAGAATTTCTGAGTTTCTGAATTTCTGAATTTCAAAATTCCTGAATTTCTGAATTTCTGAATTTCTGAATTTCTGAAATTCTGAAATTCTGAATTTTAGAATTTCTGAATTTTAGAATTTCAGAGTTTCTGAATTTTTGAATTTTCGAAATTCTGAATTTCTGAATTTCTGAACTTCAGAAATTTTTTAAATTTTTGGATTTTCTGAATTTTCGAACTTCTGTAAATGTTTAAAAAACTCACACTGATCGGAAATCCAAAAGACCAATAATGTTTTCCATTACAACTACAGGCATTTTTGAAAGTGATGTCATTTTTTTTTGGAAATAAAACTTCAAACTGATAAATTCAGAAAAACGGGCAGAATGATTTCTTATCACTTATCAAGAACTTTAAAAGTGTTAGTTCTCTCTGCGTCTCTCAAAACATCATTTTTTGGCAATTTTATGAAATTCTAAAATTCTGATGCCGAATTTTGGGACATTTGATAATCATAATTTTCGAATTTTCAGAAATTTCGAAATTTTGGAAGTGTTGAGATTTCGGTTCTTTATTACATTTCTATTTCAAATAAAAAGGTTTCTTTAAAAAAAATCAAGAAGGCGTCTCTGTAGTTGTCGCATCTCTCACTGGATTGCTTTTCCGGAATCCGCAAATTGTAAAAATAGATTCCACGTGTTTTCTGTTGCAGCTGAGATACGAAGCTTGAATCACAAAATGAGTTATGCAAATGTCGACGATTGTCATACTGGTGAAAAGCTGAAAATACACAGATTTTTATGTTTGGATTGTTTGAAATTTTTCGAATTTCTTTTGATTATTAGGATTTTTGAATTTATAAATTTATAAACGCACCAGCCATCTGATTGCCGCGCCTCCCCCGTTTCAATCTGGCTGGTGCGTCTTCGGCGCATTTCAATCAAGTTTTTTTTCTGGTTCGCCGCTTCGCTTCTCACTCAGGTTTTCTCAAAGGGTCACGTAAATATACTCATTTTTCAAGTTTTTTCAAAACTGGACATCGTGACACGAGGACCGACAGACATCTCTAGTGTAGGGTTTCCATTTGGGCAGGTGAAAAAGCGGGCTACCTCCTACCTGCCTACAATTTTTTACGATTTGTTGAATTTTTAGTCAATTTTTTCGAATTTCTTTCTACGGAACTGGAAAACCCATGAAAAAACTCGAATCTAAGGTATTGTCCAATTCAAAATAATTTTAACTACTCGATTTTCCGTCTTCCGTCTTCCGTGTTCCGTCTTTCGTGGAATTCCTTGTTCCGTCTTCCGGCTTCCGCCCTCCGTCCTTAAAAATGT